GAGGAACAGAATGTAAGTACGCTATTAAACTTTTTGATGAAACGACTTTAGCTGCTCTGCAAATTGAATCGCAGAATAATAGAACTCGGTATGGAAAGATGTCTCAAGACACTAAACATTTATTGATGTAATTTTAAAGTGGTGGAAAATTGTGAATGTTAAAACCACTCTAAAGAGGCCTTACAGTTTCAAGATGTCTTTATGCAGCCTATAAGGACAACAGAAGATAAAGCTTAGAACTGTTTATCACAGTTTTTGTTCGTGGCTTATATCATGGAACGATTTTGTCCAACAACAAAAAAATTGTAAGTCACAAATTGGGGAAACGTCAAAAGAAGCCCAGTTGCTCTTCTCCATACAAACCAAACCTTGAATGAACTTTCAAAGTATTTGTTAAAGAATTTAAATTACCTTTTATTCCCTTCAGGAAAATTTCAGACAGATGACCTTGAGGGATGTTTTGGTCAATTTCAACAAATGAGTAGCTGTAATTATAATGTATCCTTACAGCAGATTATAGAGTCGGAAAAAAAACTAAAATTAATTTTGCTTAAAATGCAATTTCTGAGAAAGGTTCATTTATTTTACAACATTTTTCTTGTAATGATATTGAAGATTTAATGATGATCCTTATTGATAAGGATTTGGTGATGTTTTGCATCAATCCAACGATGTTAATGTTACAGAAAAAGATACAATGTGTCTAATTTACATTTCTGATATGTTTGTAGATCTGTATTGAAGCATATAAATTGTAATCTCTCAGGAAAAAAATTAATTCTTGACAAAGAAATAATAGTTGAATATTGGGAAGATTTTGCGTACTTAGCTGCTATTGATTGAGGTGGTTTATTTTGGCCAACAGAATTCGTGCTTTTCATTAATACCTCAGCATTTAAAATATTTTTAATCCTAATATCTGAATGTATGAGAATTATATATTTATCAAAAAATCAACATTCTTATTAATAAGTCTCATCACAGAGAAGTTGAAACAGGATTATTTGGAATGATAGTATTTGTGAATGTGGCAAATCATTGCATGATTTGTTGAAAAGTTGTGTCACATGCATTTCCAATATATTGCCAGAATATTACTGTAGGTTAAAAAATAACAATTTAAAGGAAACCCATGACCAAAAAAGAAAAATGGGTAAATTAAATAATTCTGGAATTTAGGGTGAATTTTTATGTAATTTTAAAGTTAAATAATTAAGTATTTGCAAACAGTGCATAACTGAGCCATAGAAACTTGCTGCTGCCTACCAATGGCTGAGTGGTAAAATCACTGAAAACTGATAGTTTGGTCTGGAGTTCCAAACTCGGCGAACGGGCTGGCTGATTATATGGGCAAATAGAATTGATAATTACCTTATATGATCAAATAGAATCGGAAGTGAATTAAGAAGTTTGAAAACATGGAGAAGTGTGATAGAAGCTGATGAATCACCAAAACCATATAAAAGGGATGATGTTAATTTTGAAAGTGAAATAAAAACTTGGGAAATATGGGATGATAATAATGCGATAAGCAAGAATCTAATGAATTAGACTGTGACACAGCTCCATAAGCGTTAAAATATGTGAATGACAGATACAAAGAAATGATGGGAGAAAATAAAAAATGAATGGCGGCAAGAACAGAAGATATTCATATCAAATGTAGAAAGAATTAGCTCAGCTGAAAATGAGTCAAAACGAATCTGTAGATGCTTACATGAATACAGCTGTAATTCTGAAAAGTAAAAGCATTCAAGTTGGGATTGAAATAAGAGATAAAAAATTAATTTACCTCATACTAGAAGGACGTTAAAGTTGATTATTGTTAAAATTATCAAATAATAAAGAGAAAGATATAGCTTCAATTATACAAGCTTTAAGATAAACAAAATTGTAGGTCATGATTTAAAAGCAAATTTTACCAAAACTAAAGCAGAAGAAAAGACAAAGCGACAACAATGAAAAAGATTATGTAGTATGATGTATGAAATGATAGAAGAACTAAGTTCATGGAGGCTCATGAAGTCTGGAAATTAGTTTGAAAGATCTATGAATAAGAAAATTACGATGTTTACGAAAACTACAAAATAAGATTTTTGATTAAAAACTGCATATTTAAATGGATACTTGAATAAACCAATTTATATGGAACAACCACTGGATTTAAATCAGATTCAGACTGTCAAGCATTAATAGATTGGATAAAAAAAAAAAAGTAGTAGTTCAAGGCACATTAATCGAAATCCTTTGCCGTAAGCCAAAATCAACTAGCTAAATCATGTTTATTTTGTAGACCTCAAATCAGGGGCTACAATGATAAGCCTGTTTTGGCATTCATATTTCAAAAATTTGAATGGCAAACTTTTGTTGATGTGAATTAATGATGTTTAACTTAAAATTAATATCTTATAACATTGTAATGATATGCTGGATTTTTCATTGCTTAATACTACATGCATCTTTTACTATTTGTCTATTATTAAATAAATTACAGTGTATATTTAATCAGATGTTCTTTCATAAGAATTTTTTATAGCATGATATGGTGCTCTTGGGGTAGATTGCATAGTTAGATCTCACTTTGTTTTCAGGGGGGAATTTTATAATATATTTTTGGATATGCTACAAGATTTCTCGTATAATGTTCATGCTTTAAAACATCTTTAAAATAAAACTTTTTTGTCATATATTTCCCAAAATGTTCACTTGTATGTTTTATAATTAAAAAGTACCTTAAGATATTGGATTAAAAATGTTGAAATGTTTTATGAGAAAGAAAAAAAAAAAAAAAAAGAAAAAAAAAAAGGCTTTTGCTTCAATAGAATTGCATGTAAAATTATAAATGTAAATCAAAATTTTATTTAAATTAATATGTTTATGAATTTTGTATGAAAATATCACATATCTTTTTAATATTTAAGCAGTATAAATCAATCTAATTAATTAAGCAATACAAATTAATGTAGTAGTATGTGGTGTATAAAGAGTTAAATATTTTAAAAGAAAAAAAAAAAGATGTCTAAATTAATTGAATACTAAGCATCTGTAAACTATATCCATTTTGGTATATAGAATGATATACATTATATATTGTAATATCAGTGAGTCGTAGAAACTTATTCAAGTTTATGAAGTTTATTTTTGTGGACCTCGCATCAGAGTCTGCAATAATAATGTTCCATTATTAATATTTAAAAAATTCAAATGACAACTTATTGCAGACGTGAAATGATAATTTCAACTGGCTAATCAGTATCTTATACTATCTTAATGACTCGCAGGATTTTTCATTGCTTAATATTGTGTATTTTTAATAAGATTTTCTTTCATAAGAATTTTTTGGAGCGGAGCATGATATGATGCTCATTGGGATTGATTGCATAGTTATGATCTTGCTTTTTTTAAGAGAACTTGAAATATATTTTTGAATATTCTGTGTAATGTTTTTGCTATAAAACATCTTTAGAATGAATCTTTTTTCAATATGTAGACTAAACTTCAGATATACTTTTAATATATTAATGTATTAATAAGATTTATGTATTTCACTTAATATCCACATGTGTATTTATTATTAAAAGGCATCTTAGGATCTCTGATTGAATCTTGAAAAATCTTTATGGGAATAAAGAAAAGAAAGAGTTCATTTTGCTTCAATATCATTGCACCAAAAACAATTATAAAGCAATATTATATTAGAATTAATGAATTGATATTAATTTTATTATGAAATACTATATATGTTTGTTTACTATTTAAGCAGTATAAATCAGTCTTCATAATTTAAGCAATATAAAATCATCTGAGAGCTTTAACATATTTTTTCTTTTTATTACAAAATGAAAACATCTCATGTTTAGTTCATTACATATGTTATATTTTCATTGATATTATCATACCGTATAATTTTTATAAATAATTTTTGTGTCCATTTTATTTCCGTATGTTTCAGTTTAATTTAAATCAGCTCTGCTAAATTTACAATATCACTCAAATCTATTTTTATTTTTGTTTAATAAATCGGTATTTAGTATTTAAATATCATTACGATATAACATAGTACGTTATTATTCCCTAAAATTCGAAATATTAGTTGTAAAAATTAATTTGACTTGACTTTTGTGTTGGAAATAAAACGCTGCGCACTACATAAATGAAACAGTCGGCTGCGTCTACCGTGGGAACGATCGCCTTCGATTGTGACGTCACAAATCGGTGGAGCAGGCCTGTAGATATCTAGTTGGCCTTGTTTTACGTCGATTTCCTTAAGGCAGGCGGTAGCGAGAACGAAGGTTGCTCACCATAACTCAGTAATAGAAAGGGTTGTTAATAATCCACCAGCAAGAGAATAATTTGAAAATAATAATTATCAGTTACAAAGACGAGGTCAATCTATATGGATGATAATGTTCAGGAAAGGACTAGATAAAATAGTTATTTAATGATGATTCTAATTGCAAGCGAGGACGCGTAATTAGTTAAAAAATCTTTAGTGTATTGACAAAAAGGCTACAGAACTTACTTAAATTCTAAACTTAAATAACTTACTTTGGAGGCATTAATTCATCTGACTCATTTCCTGAATGTACTGTAGGTTTGGTGTAATGCGTGATGTTGAGAACTTTAGTGTAATTTACACCAGTTAGTTATGATTAAGTTGCTGTTGACATTTTCTTGACTTCACTTTTGTGAGGTCATGTTCATTGCATTTATTATAATCACCTTTAGTTATGCTAAAAGCTTTTCCCACACAAGAAGGTAAAAAAAGTTCTGAATATTTTTTTTACAGATTATTTTGAATGCACTAATCAACTTCAAAGATCTCTTATCTTAATGACTATAACTTCGACTTTGATTACAAAACATTTGCGCTCATGACGACTTCTCGGTGATGTATGTTTTTCTTGCTCTTATTTTAATATAACATTTTTTGAGGTTGGATTCTCTTGATTTAACATAACTGAAATTCGCAATGGATCCTATGTAATTTTTTTCGTGTACGTATTTGCATCTGCTGTGTTTTTTCGGACTTTATTATTGTGATGTCCGGAAATCTGTTAGTAACTGGAAACTTTCTTTCATTTTAACTGTCACTTTTGAAGTTATTTACATCAATAAAAGGTACTTATTTACAATTAAGGATATTTTCTTGAAGTGTCTCTAATTTGCTTTTGTTAAAAACAAATCTGACGTGGGGCATTGAGTATTATTTTAATATCATCAAACCAACCTTTTTTTGTAAAGTGAGAGATTCGAAATTTCAGAAATGACAGTTGTGTTTAATGTTGAATAAACTCGAAAAAAGCAAGAAGAAAAGGTTTAAAGCTTTAGATACTTTTTTAATCGTAAGACTTGGGCATTTATTATTTCTTTTTCAAACAATTAGTTGCAAATATGTATGACTAGTTTTCTGTGCAGTAGTTATAAATTTATTAAAATTGCTAGTAATTTTTGAATAAAAGTCCAAGATCCGGAACCTTTGGGACTTCTACAGTTCTCGATTTTAAATCATCAGTTTAAATGTAAAATGATGCCATGCAGAAATTATGAAATTAAAAATATGGAATAGTTGTATAGGAAATAATGAAGCATTTCTGAACGTGGAATCAAAATTTACAAATAAAGCACAATAATTATTTGGTTGTTTTATGAAGTATTTCTTTCAGTGTAAGTTGTTTTAAGATCTTTTCTTCCCTCCCCCCCTTTTTTTTTCTTTTTCTTTTGGGTGTGTGTTCTATGCTTTCTTTTCAATTCTTTTCTTTCTTGTTCAGTTAAAATGTTCCATTATTCAAGTTTTGAAATCGTTGGCTCAAGAATTCCTGTTAAACTATCAATCGAAATCATTTCATCCTCAACAACCTTTGCCATTTTCTTCATATCAGTAGCAATATTTCTTGGATTTAAAATCATATGACAGATTGAGAAATTGTCATCAGAATAGAGAAATTCGATTACATCATCTTCGTGGATTGATTATCATTTCACTTTTCTTCACAAATTTCATTAATGGGAAAGTCGACCATTTCCGACATTGTTCCCAAATAGTTCAGTTTATTACTGATAATGGATAAGTGGACATCACAACAAATTCCTAAGAAATGAAGTCTTTGTAAGGGAGCAGCCAGTGCTTGCCATCATATACACTCTTATCAGCAGCAGAATTATGCTAAATCAGGCATAGGCAACATTTTTTGATGTGAGTTAAAACCGAAATGTGTATTTTAAGAACAGTTTTGTATCAGTGATATTTCTATTTTAGAACAGTCTGTTTTGGTGAATAATAAGATACACTTTATTGAAAAAATAATTACAATAAACTTTAAAAATTTTAATTGTAATTATTACGAAACAAATGTAACTGAATGAACTTTATTTTTATCATCAATATCAAATAATTGTTTTTCCTTATGCTGTACTTGTGATGTCATTTTACTGAAGTCTGACTTATAATTAGTTGTACTAAGATGAATACAAGCATCTGAATTTTCAACAGTTAAGCTGCTCCTGCCCTTATTTAAAATAAACTTTGTAAAAGTATTTGCTCGCATTTATAAGCTGAACAAATGTGGACAAAATGGCAAAGTTGATATTTTGAATTATGGGTTGGCATTGCTAAACTTATTAAAATGTCCTTGAAATTGTTATAATTTTTATTTATTTATTTTTGAATAAAAATGCATGGTCAGTATTGCAACTTTGTAATAAAAAAAATGTTGTTATTTATTTTCGGGTAATTTTTCAAGTACTTGTTTTATATTTATGCTTTATAATTTATTATTTTTTTGTGTTACGCTTCATTTTTGGAAACACCACGGCGTGCAATGAATTGGAAGTTGATCTGTCAGCACTATCCTTATCTTCAAGGCAGATGTTTTTGTTTTATTCGGCTTATAATTCCTTACTAAATGTAGTATTTCATTTCGATGTACTCCGTCTTTGATATGATTTAAATCAAATTCCTCATCATTATAATTTGTTTCCGATAGTGAAGAAAGTGACACAGAGGTTATTGAAAACAAAAAAAAATTCGATTGACAAATTAGTCGGTAGTCTCAACACAGCAATTATAGGACTTAAAGAGCGGAACTTTGTAACTGAACAAGAAATTATGTCTGTTTATAGAATTAAAGAGAAAGTATTATCACATAAAACGAAGCAATTTAAACAACTTACATTGAAAGAAATGTTTAATTAAGTAAACAAATAAATATTAAGCTTTTTTTTGTCAATTTTGATACCCTTTAGATCATAATTATTCTTTATTTCATAAATTACGTTTTCATATTTTTAATTTTATAATTTCTGCATGCCATCTTACCAGATTTAAACTGATGATCTCTAATCCGGAAAAATTGATAATCCAGAATCGCCGAAGTCCCGACGAGTCCGGATTAACGACTTTTGACTGTATTCAGTAAGCCAGGCTAGATATTGTAATGAAGTTATGTATGTACTGTTCTTCCTTTCTTTCAAAAAAAAAAAAAAAAAAAACTGAGAGGGTTCAGATTTTAAATTATGTCCAAAGTTCTGTTCTTTTATCACAATGCGAGAAATGTACATACATTTATGCAGATTTTTCACTATTTAATTTCTTTAAATATAATACAGGGCCATATTTTGTGGCGACAATTTGAAAAGTGAAACAATGCTTGCAGTAAATCAAAGTAAAATGCCAAAAAAAAAAAAAAAAAAAAAAAAAAAAATTAATAGTTCTGCTGGGCAAATTACCACTTTGAACTAAAAAGAAAACTGAAAGCTCTCAGATTTCACATTATGCCCAGAGGGGTGTTTTTTTAGCGTTTTGTGTGTTACCCTTATTTATTAAATATCATGTTTTTCGCACTTAAACCATAAAATTCAATTCAACAGCAATATCACAAAATAATTTTAAAATAAGCATATCTTTAGAATTTCTGATACACAGTAGTGCACGCTGGAGATACAAGTTTTTTTGTTTTGTTTTTTGTACAGTGTTGCCATTCCTCGCTTTGAAATCATTGAGTTTGTTAATCAAAAAGTCCTCAATGTCTAAAAAATATGAAATAGATAATAAAACAAATTCCAAATTAGGGCTTCCAGATGCCCATATTCGGTGGAGGATTATGTTATTTAAAATTTGATGGCTCCAGGTACCATTGTTTCGTCGCAATGCGAAAAACATTCATACATTTATGCAGAATCTTCGTTATTTAATTTCTTTAAATATAATATAATACAGGACTATTTGGTGGCAACAGTTTGAAAAGTGAATCGACGTAAATGCTAAAATGAAATTAAGATCCCTTCTGGGCTAATGCCCTTTGGGCTAAAATGATTAAAATTTATGACTTGCCTCCTACAGAACAGCAAGAAGTTTTAGACGTGTGGAACTGGTTATACTGATGCACATACTCGAAACAATAAAGATTGCGAATTTACCAAAATATGTTAATGAAAGACATTGCAAAAGAGCCCGATGCCATATAGATTTGCATTTTAGTAAATTTATGCTGTTTTGACCATGTAAAGAAAACAATAGTTTAATTTTTTTTTTTTTTTTTTTTTTTTTTTTTTATATTTCATGAAGGATATTTGAGCACCAGAAGATCTGGCATTAGTTTCAACAAATTGCTTTGTCAGATAATTTCAAAACTTGAGCTCGTAGTTTTCAAAGTTCCATATGTAATATTCACATCTGACATCTGGATATCTAATTAAATCTAAAGAAATTCCATATTGTCTAACTAAGTAGACTGCAATTTATTCCTTCAAACTTCTACCAGAATCATTGGCCCAGGTTTGGTCGGATCTCTTTCACCTTCCCGATCAACAGGAAAACAATTAAGTATCTTGGAAAATGTCACCTTTTGTCATGATGTTCAAAAGCATTCATATTTTTAGAAGATCAATAGTATTCTTCATGGTGGGTAGCTGAAAGAGAAATTAGGATAAACTCATTAATCCAGTAGAAGGCTTCCTTTAGATAAAAACCAACATATTTATTTTTCAATTTCATATTTATAAATAATTTAAATGATAGAAGGAGGTTAATTATGGTAAGCAGTGCTTTTTTCTGCTTCTATTTTGGTATTGACTCTACTGTCTCTCTAGTTTATTTCAGTCTTCAATTCACTTCAGTTCGTTAGGGAAGAAAACTGCTGAGAGTGTTTCTCAGCAGCGACCCATATTTGCAGTTATCATCATAATAATGATGAAAGGTAGCTGGCCATAAATTTTATCAAACATTTAAAAAGATATCTGCTGACACATCCTAACTTTGCAGTACTACACAGGACAGATTTTATGTTAAAGTATTTAAAAAATTCTTAAATTGTGTTCCAAGTGTTTAGAAAATTTAGCATGCAATTTTAAAAAGGTTACTGTATATCGGCATTTTAGTACATGCAGCACTCCAATATGCATTGGTTGAATGATGAATGTACAGTTGGGAGCACAGAATAAGACAAAGATTAAATAGACTTCTTTAATGAAGTATGAACCAAACAATTGTCTTTAATCAGGAAAATTTTTGCATCACCCAATTAGCCAGACGATTTCAAATGTTACTGAGCATGAAACGATTTTCAAACCAATCATTCATTAATGTTTGTGTGATCCATTCTCTTTATTTGAATGTTAAAAAAAAAGGTAAAATCTTTACTTCTTTAAGTGTCTGAGATTGTGCATTTTCTCCAATTATAAAAAGCTGACATTAGTGCATTTCTGATTGTGCATTTTCTCCAATTATAAAATGCTGACATTAGTGCATATCTGCAGCATTTGAGCTTGCAAAAATTGTTAGTTTATCTATGAAATCTTTGATACCATTTGAGGCTTTTTCTGCAAACATTGCCTAGGATTTCATGGCACATATAATCAGAAGAGTACCATTTAAAATTTTCCTAGAGATAACTTTCTGCAGTTAATGAGTTCGATGAGTTCTTTTGCATATTGTTCAGTTGCTTTAGTATAAGTTGAAGCTTTTTAGCCTGAAATTTTAGCTTTCTAGTAACATGGTGACTTTTTAAAATTTGATTAACCAACCTGTCGAATATGTGCACATAGTTTTTAAGTGTATTTCCTTATGAAATATTTTGCTTCAGCTGTTAGTATTGGATGGAATGCCCATGATGTCATGCTCTTGCTGCAACACTGTTTCATCCGATGAATAATTTTTATGTCATATCCTGCTGACTTTCCAGTGTCATACACCTAGCATAATTTGGGTACGAATATGCCTTATCTATTTTTTACAGCTATTAACCTTACTGCTTGAGTGACATAGAAATATTCTTTAGATTTGTAAATCATGTTGCAAAGCCAGAATTAGAAATTCTTTTCAACATAGTCAAAAATTCAAACTTTAATTTTGATAATATAGCTGTAATGATAATATGCAAAATAATAATAAGCTAGATCAAATTAGAAAGTTAAAGAAGAATGCAGTTTGCTATGCTAATACTGAACTTCTGTTCCTTGGAACCTATTTCTTTCTCCTTTTCTTCCCTGCTGCTGTGTCACCAAATGAAAAACATTATCAGCAACATTCTCACTTCAAACAAATATGTATTGGAGCTTCATTTGTTTAGGTCCGACAGAAAACTCCAACCAGTTAAAGCCAAAAGGTGTAGTCGGGATCATTGTCAATCAATGTATTGTCTTTGGCCACAGTGTAATTCCCTTATCAGCAGCTGTTTGACAATGAGCAGGGATCTCATTTAGTTCAGCAAAAAATTGCTTTTATGGCACACCTGCATTTGAATATTATATAATCTATTTCTAGACTTTGTAATGGTGGGGGGAATCTGAAAAAGGTAAAAACCAATTTACTCATTATCTAGAGGTTTGGATATCACACTCTGTTTTAGACTTTATATTGTAGTATTTTATATGTAAGACACTGGATATTAATGCTATATTTTTTGCAGATAACTAATGTGATAACATAGCAAGATGTATTAAGAAAAATGCTAATGTAAATAAAACTTAAATAAAATGTAAATAAGTCTCTTCCATAAAACTCAGATCTTATAAAAAATAAAATTTTTTATCAATAATTAATTATGAAACAAAGTAAAAGTAGCATAATTTAGATTTCATGCTAAATTTTGTAAAGTATGAACATTTCATGCTATATAAACTGTCGGTGCTCTAGAATCTGTTAGTTCTGGTAGTGGTTTGATGTGAGCCTTAAGTATTATATAAAAAACAAAAAATAAGCTTGATGAGTAATTAACTTTTTAGAAAGTAATGCATAGTTGCATTTAAAAAAAAAAAAAAAAAAAAAAAAAAAGTCTAATTTTATAGTACAAAAAATGTTTGCAAAAATAACTTTTTACCTGTTATTTAAACTGACTTTTTACTTTAAAAAAAAAAAATCTTAATTATTTTACTTTGTGAATTTTATATTAACAAAAGAATTGGTATCCAAGTCAGGCTTCTTAGTTTATGATGTTTGTTCTCATTGTTAGAAATGCTTTAGAAATATATGTGTGATTTTATTCTATATTACAGATTTACAGTTAAAGCAATATGAATCATTAGCATTCCTGCATATTATATTCCTTTCTCTTGTTTAACGTTGTTTGAAAAACGAAAACTTCTCTCAATATCATAATTTAATATTTAAATTTTAATATCTTCTGTAATAATATAATTTCTGTGTGCACTCTACACTTTTAGCATAGTTTATTATTTCTTCAGTGATTAAATTTTGTATATTTCCCTCCCCCCCCTTTTTTTTCATTTTATTTTTATGTGCTAAGTGAAGGAGCATTTTCTAATTTATATTTTAATTCTTTAAAACAGATCAGATTTTTTACCTGACCATTTAGTGTATATAATCATTTCTTCACTTTAATATTGCTTTAATATTTTAATTATGTCCTATTAATATTATAGTTATATTTTATTCATATACAACACTACTGTATTATTAATCATTTGAAATATTTAGCCTTATTAGTATGCTTCAATAGCCTTCTATGGTAATATGTATCCATGTATATATCTACGCATTTTTTTTTGCTGCTGTAGTAAGATCTGCTTTTGCATTGGGTGGAGCTTCTTTTGGCATGAGTTACTAATTACTGGTAAAAAAAAAAAAAAAAAAAAAAAAGAGGAGCAACTGAACAACAAGAACATAATAGAAAACTTTCAGATTTTCTATTATGTCTAAAGGGGTGTTTTTTTAACGTTTAGTGTATTACTTTAATTTATTAAATATCATGTTCTTCACTGTTAAATCGTAAAATTCATTTCAACAGCTATATCATAAAATTAAAAAGAGCGTATAATTAGAATTTCTGATACACAATCTCATGCACTGGAGATAAATTTTTTTTTTTTTCCATATAGTGACTGTCATTGCTCGCTTTAAAATCAATGAGTTAGTTAATCAAAAATTTGTTAAAGTTTTACAAAATAAATATGAAATAGATAATAAAACAAATTCCAAATTCGGTCTTCAAGATGCCCATATTCTAGTGGAGGACAATTTATTGAAAATTTGACGTGTCTAGGTACTGTTGTTCATTCACAGTGTGAGAAACATACATACATTTATGCAAATTCTTCATTATTTAATTTCTTTAAATATAATGCAGGGCTCTAATGTTTGGTGGCAACAATTTGAAAAGTGAACTGACATTTATAGTGAATCAATGCAAAATGCCAAAACGAAATTAATAGCCCTTCTGGGCTAAAAAAGATATATTTTGTATAAATTAGGACATGTTTTTAAAACAATGAAATATTTTTTAAAACTTTTTTTGTTTCAGTATACAAATTAAAAAATAATTAACTCATTTATAAAAACTTAAGGATTATTTTCTAGGTAGCCAACATGTTTGAAAGGAAAAACTTCAATGAAATATCACATTGATCAATAAATAAGAATCCTACTACTCTTTTCACTAGATTTTTTTGGAAGAAATCATTTAATTACTGTACACTTATTGTAGAAATAATAAAACAGTAATTTTTAACTTACATTTTTATTTTTGAATAAGTTAAATTGCTTTTATTATGTTGCCTTCACCACTGGTACACCATTTTTCATATCTTCCAGTTTTTCCACTTTCTTCTGGAAGCAAAGGAATCTTGATTCTATCCTTGTGTGAAGAGAAGGGAATGGAGTGAAAACAGTTGAGTGATTACGATATACATATTTCTATACTGGACTACAAACTGGATCAGTAACTTGCAAGGTGATCATTAAAAATATTGAAAATATGTTGTTTGGGGAAGTTTTAGTATGGAAAGGTTACATTATATTTTTAGTCATTATTAAGGGCTGTAATTAAAAAGAAAAGAATAAAAGAATTTCTTTGCTGTCTTAGAACAACTTTTGGCAAAACATCTTCATATAAAACCATAACCTTAGATACTTGAATGGTTTGTTCTTATAAATAACTTATGTATTATATATTATTTTCATTTTCAGAGATTTTTTTCGAAAGATGTCGGAAAGAAATAAATCTCAGATCTATAATCATGAAGAGCTGGAAGCTGAAATTCGGAGAGTTCGTGAAACAGAAGAATTTAATGAAGCGGCTAACTTTAAGAAATCGAAACATTCACTAGATAGTGATGAAGATGATGATGAGGAGGAATTGTCTAAAAAGTACAATGTTATGGATCCTAGTGAACTGGAAGGTATTATTTTCATTTTTGTGATTTCCTACTTTCTCATTTGCTAACTAGAAAAATTTTCTTATCATGAACTTGGCTTCATGCAATTGAATTTTTTTTTAAAATTTCCAATGGCAAGGTACTTAACATGAACAAGATAACATAATCTTATAATTGAAACTGGTAGGATTTAAATATTAAATTTAGTAGTTCAAATTTAATTAAGTATATCTGCAGCAGTATAATGAAATATTTCTCATTTAAACTGTATGTTATTTAAATAAAATACTAATTTGTTAGCATGAAAAAATTTTCTTATTAAGAATAAAAAAGAAACTTGAATTATTATTTATTAAGAATAAAAAAGAAACATTGAAATTGGCATTACTTAAATTGATACTTGTCTTCTATAGTCTATGCTAGGTAAGCAATAAGCTAAGCTAAAATGAGATATTACTCAAAATCTGTAGGACGTTTCTACATGCAAATCTAATGATGGATCTAAATTCAGAAAATAAAATCTACTAATAGTGAAGAATGTGACAGAAAGGTTGCTGAGGACAAAAAACTTTTGACCGAAAATTTAGTGCCAACTCTCAACTGTGCAATTACAGAACTTGAACAGTGGATCTCTACAAGTGAACAAGAAATTATGTGAAATAACTTGAACAACTTACTTTGAAGGAAATGTTTAATAAAGCAAATAAATAAATATCGTGCTTTTTTTAAAATTTTTATTTCCTTAATATTCATTCTTTTATAAGAAACTATTTTATATTTTTAATTTTATAATTTTTACATGTCATTTTACTAGATTTAAATTGATGATCTAAAATCCAAAAAAATTCTCAAAGCCAGAAACACCTACAAGTCCCTACAAGTCCAGACCTCAGATTTTGTATCGTATCAAGTAACTTGTGTTGTGTATATATATATATATATATACACAACACAAGTTATATATATATATATTGAATGAATTGGCGATTTGTTGTTTACCATGTTCAGTTTTGTCTTTGCAGATATTTATAACATTTGATAAAAAAGTGCATTTTCGTAAGCACAAATTATGCTAGTGCTATTTTCTCTCATCAAGGCCACTATGAAAGACAAATGCTCTTAAATAATCTTTTAAATACTTGCTTAGTGGAATAATAAAATATTTCCCATTTAGTGATGCATTATTGAAAAGGAAATATCATTATGGAAGAATTTATTATGAAAGGACTATTATTTACTATAATGTAGTTGTTCACTTTCACTATTGCAATTCCTGTCATGTGCTTCATCTATTAAATGCAGTATAGCATGTACATGCAGCATGGAATGCCCTGATATGTTATGTCAGACTTACTTTTTTTGCCAAACATTCATTCACACGTGCACACTAATCCCTTTCTCAAAGGAAACTGGCTGAATCTTGTGTATATGGTATTATAAAAGCCCAAAGTCTGGTAAATCCTAGCTTTTACCAAAGTGGCTTGGTAAAGTATGCTTTAATATGATTCCATTTCGGACTTTTACCAAGCCTTTGCGGTAAAGCCTAGGAGTTACGAAGGCCTTCCGATAAAAGCCCGAAACAAGGGATTACTTATGATAGAATTTTCCATTCACAGATATACTGTATACAGTGTGTCCCCCAAAAAGTTAAAACACACTTTAACTTTTTAATTGATAATATAAATTGTGAAAGTAATCATGTATAAAATAATGTATGATCTAAGATTATGTTGATAAAACTGTCTTATGATTATTTTTGAAAGAGAAGAAATAAAAAAGAAAAAATGCAATAGTTATGCCATTTCACAAATAAGATCCCATGTGAAAAAGCTGAATTAATGCTCAATTCTCTCGATAACTAAAGAGATTTCAGTAATTTTTAAAAATAATTTTGGCAATAGTTTAAAAAATTAAATTGATTGCTCAGAAAAGAATTAATAGAAATTATAAAATTTAACAAAACACAGTTTAAAAAATTAAATTGATTGCTCAGAAAAGAATTAATATAAATTATAAAATTTAACAAAACACATCTTTGTAGTACACTTCTTTGAACAGTTGCATTTTCTGAGTCCTTGTCCCCAAAATAAAAATAAAAAAAAAAAAATTGTACTACTTCGCGTACACTTATTTCTCCTGTACCAATTTGTTTGATGTTTAAACACTTTTCTTTTCAAAAAGTAACTTGTTATCTTGTTTACATTGATTTTTATGTACCAAATTTAGTACCAAGAACATAAAACTCATCATCTTTAATGTCTGTAATGGTGGCTGTTACTGATTTTGAATCTATTTTTCATCTATCAATATCAGGTACATTTATTTTAACATTTTGGTTTTTAACACTATGTTTCAGAAAGTTTTTAGTAGACACAATCTTCATTTTCTTTGCATGCTTCTCAAGTCCTTTCGTAGCAGTCTTTCAAAACACTTTCACAATTGAATTTTGTTAATAATTTCGTCCACTGTGCCAGAGCATACAACTGGATTTCACCCCCCCCCAATTTGAACTTCAGTATCTGCCTCCGTCATTATGCATGGTTCTTTTTCATATGTATTATTATCTTGTGATTCTAAATCAACTGTTCATTTGAGATTAGTGCGTTCATATTCTGTATTAACCACACATTCATTATTAATATTTATAATTTTTTTCTAAATCCTCTTCAGTCACCACGTTACTAATCAAATTACGTGGAAAAACTGAGTTAGCAAGTCCCATCTTCGTAGAACAACTTTGATTCCTTTGTGATTTGCCTTGTTTTTCATTGCTGAGGAAATTTTAATTCTTCCGACCACTTTTCCATCTTATTTGTTTCCATCCATGTGCCATGTTTTCCTCAACTGAGAGAACCTTGCGATTGACTGTGTCTTGGCTTATGGTGAACTATTTTTATATCACTCCACATTTCACATAAATGTCTGGGACTCCAAAAGTTGTCAAAATATCCAGAAGGTGATATGTTACGTCATCAGTTCTTTTACTGCACTGATTTCGGAATAGGACAAATTTTGTAAGATGATCTTTATACACCAAAATGAATTTCATATCACAATCAGGATTGGCCTACATATCTATTATGTTGTCTTGGCTTTAAGAATCCATTTCACTTTGCAAAACTGGTTTGATTACAGTCTCCTTTTCACAGTTTTTTGCTTTTTCTGACATGGTTCACATAGTCTCAAATATGTGACAATAGATTCTACTATTACATTCTTGTACTTGCGATTCAGTTTCTTAATCATACGGGGTCTTCCACCATGGCCAACTGCGATATGAGCATTGTGTATGACATTGAAGATTTCATCAGTTGTAACATAATACAGTATTTTCTGCTTTTTCTGCAGACAGTGATGCTATAAGTTTGTCCTCTCCTCGAATATTTGGAATACCATAGCATTTCAGCCTTCTGTAATGAACCGATTGTTTTGGATTCATACATTTTGCTTCTTTTATTTCATTTATTAATGAAGTGTATTTCTCATTTGTTAAATAAAATGTGTTACTGTGCTTATTTTTTACAGATTGAGACAAAATGTCTGAATTTTGTCATTTTGCTTCTTTTACTTCATTTATTAAAGAAGTGTATTTCTCATTTGTTAAATAAAACATGTTACTGTTTACGGATTCAGGCAAAATGTCATAAAACATTTTCTGCATAACATCACTCATTTCCTATCAACAAAATAAAAAATGCAAGATGTGTTGAAATGGGAACAAGCTGTTTCTATTTTACATCGTAGCTGCTTACACTTGTTTCAATTCGTTTGAAGCTAGACTGCAAATGGCATAAATAAGAAGGAGCAGGAACAGCAATATGTCACAATGGAATTTGCGGGCTCACGTTTATTCAGAGTCTATTTAAATCCCTTGTTTCAGGCTTTTACCGTAAGGCATTTATAATTCTTAGGTTTTACCACAAAGGCTTGATATTAAAGCATACTTTGGACTTTTACCAAGCCATTTGGTAAAAGCTTTGTTTTACCGTTAAAACCTAGGATTCACTAGGCTTGGAGCTTTTACAGTAACATATATACTTCTAATATATTTTCCATAAAATATGCTTCATAATTTCTCCTTGGAATTTTTTTAGTTGAAATGATGTGTACCTGTAAATAGAAAAACTAGTACCTTCTTATTTGTTTTAATTATAAAATGTAATACTTTTCATTATAATTATAAAACTTAAACCAATATCTCATTGATAGAATGGAGTGACATAGTTTTGTGTCCCAAACAGAAAGTGTCATTGGCACTCTTTTATAACGTATTTGAAAACAAATTATTTAAATAAATTTTTCACTTTGGTGCATGTTAGCTGAGTGTCCCAGGCTGCCATTTGCTCTTTATGATACTATCATGTTTATGTATGATGAAAATAATCTGGTGTTGAATATGTAATGAATATTAATAAAATTTGATGTTTTCATTTTTAGTTAAATTTTGAGTAACTATTCTCGTGCAACATAGCTTTTAATTGGTATAATCTGTCAGCAATTTAAGTCTTAGACAAGGATATCATTTGCATTTATTTTATTTTTCACGCCTTATTCTGAAAAAATTTGTTTTCATCATAAAATATTGAACTCTGGGCCTCCTGATTGCTAACCAGATCTACTTCCAAGTACACAATGAAGTAGGCAAAAAATTTCTTGCACTCTTTCCCGCTTAAAAGGCCACTGGAGAAGAGGTAATCCAGTTTGTTAAATCCCAGTGGTGATGAACCATTGTCTGCCACATTTTAGTTTGGGCTCCACTTGTAGAGTCAGTAGGCTTATTTTGGAGCATGAAATGTGAAAAATGAGGCATGCCCTCCCTAGGATTCAAACTTCAGACCTTCCATTTGTTGTTAGGTACACGCTCTTTCAACTACAGTCAAAAGTCGTTAATTCGGACACCCATAATCCGGACCTCAAAGCTAAAAACTTTCTGCGCATGCGTTTATACATGTATGTAAGACCTTTACGCTGCAAATACGCATGTGCGCATGCACATAATACGTTTACACATGTGCATTTAATGT